AAAAATAAATAAAACATGTTCTGTCATGCTTGACAAATTTAATTGCAGGATGTTTTTTATATGCAGAGGTTGCAGACTGTTAGTAGTAATCAAACTAATGGTTTGTCCTTGCCACTTAGGAAGGTTTATTTTGTGCAGTGAAAACATAAGGTAAGCACAGTACTGGCATTTGTGCCAGAATACTGATTATGCTGATATCCTTCCTACACAGAAGGATGAGACTGTTGGGAATATTTTTAGTTGGTCACCATTCCTTATTCAAAAGATACTCAGAACCTGAAAAGAAGGTAGAGATATTTTGTACTGTCTTATATGTCAGTGTAAAATTTTAATTTCTTTTTTGACTGAATATGATTTTCATATATGAATAGAAGCTATGGGGGAAGAGAGGAATTAATGCTCCATCCCATGTGATGAACACTGGGTTTTGAGAGGAATGCATGAAAAATCACAGTTATTAATTAGTTTCATCTCATTCAAACTTATAAGTCCCTAAAGGAGTTTTCCCAAAGGCTACAGTAAGGATGTTTAAGTCTGATTTCTTTATTTTCTAAATTGGAACAAAAGACAAGATCTTTTTGGTTGGTTTCTTTCTGCCTGTATTTCTCCTGATCTGATATAGATTGGTTTTCCTACTCTTCTAATGCAGCTCTATGCTATCTCCAGCTGAGCACTCTACTCAAAAGCCGTAACCACTCCTGTCACTTCAGTGTTGGGGAAAGACCTTCTCTTGGCTGTACAACTCAGTGAAAAGCAGCTGAAATGAAAGTGGATGCTATTGTTCTTTCATATCATGATATATTCACTATTCTTATTTCTTTGTCTTGCAGTCTTAATTTCAGCAAGCGCACCACTGCAATTTAAAACACCATTCTCTCAACTGAGTGGCTTTGATTTGAGATCTTTCCTTCATTTGTAAAGAGGTGTGCCTTTGACTTCAAAATTTTTCATCTTACTGTAAATAGATTTCTTATTGTTAAAATACTACCCATTCCCTTTCTCCCCCATTTGCTGCTTCTTTTTCAGGGAGAAAAATAAAAATTAAGGAACGATGTGATGGCTTGGCCTGCCAACGCTTACAGACCCAGGGTCAAAGAAAGATGCTGTATTCACTGCAGCTTACATTTTTCCTTTCATGCAGAGCAATGGGGAAATCTCTGTTCGGTCACCAGCGGGTGCCACGTCTGCGGAAATGTTCCCATGGAGACAGGGCATAGCTGAGCACAGCAGCAAGGAGGCACCTTACAGCCCTTCCATGGGGGCTGTGCTTTCCTTCGGAGCTGATGCAGTGCACAGTAAAAGCATCTCCCTTTAGAAACCCATCTCCCTTCTTTAGCAATCACATTTTGTTTGGAGTCAAACACTCCTTTCTTAAAGAAACCTCAAAAAACTATAAACTGCATGAAGGAGAAACAACCAAACAAGTGTACAAGCATTTCACGCAAATTTCACAGAATTCCAGTGATGCTTGCAGAAACTTGAAAGCTCTTTATAGCTGAGATAATTTTTTGTTTTTTTTTTTCGTGTTTCAGATTTATTTCTAGATCTGAGATAAACAAATGCTTTCTTCTTTAGCATGAGATGACTTGGACCCAAAGAAATACTAATTGAGATGTGGGCATTCAGTTTGCTGTTTGGTTGTGGTACTGGAGCCATGTTTCATTCCACAACTCCTGCTGGAACAAGCTGCTCCTAGGACAAAGACATTGGCATTAAACCTTGGGTTGTGCTTCCTATACCACAGGTAGGGGGAAAAGAAAGTGGTTTTTTAACAAGTGTGGAAAAGAAATCTGGGCCATTGGATTCCTCACAGTCAGTGATAAAACTCTAGCTTGACTTCTTTAAGGTATTTTTTAGGAAAAAACGCAAGAAAATAATACTGCTGTAGAAAGTACTGATTAAAATGAGTTTACAATAGTTCAGACTTTTCTGGTCACCAACATTGAAATGAATTAAAATTGAAGGTTCCAACAGAGCGATAAAATTATTTTGGAAAAATACTATAAGACACTGAGTGAGTTTGCTTGGTTCCATTTGGTGAGGCAAATTTAACGATAAGATATGCTGATTCTTTAAAATTAAAAACTTCAATAATTTAAAAAAATTTCAAAACTACAAGCATTTTTAGGACTTAATTCCACTTTAAACCTAGTGACATTAAAAACTTTTACAGTGACATCACAGATGTTCAGCTGCTTATCCAGCTCAATGTGTCAAACTAATTATCAGATATGGGGTCCAGAGGAATTTTTTCTCCTAATTAGAAAGAATTCCTGCAGAAGCAAAATTTACTTTTTTTGTAACCTGGATCATCATCATCATCTGGGAACTTTACTGACAAAGGTCCAGGAATCTTGGAGGCAGATAATGCTCTCAATTCCTCCTGTTTTCTTCCTGTGGCATGTCATTGTGTTTTGGTGTGTCAGGAAGCATTTCCTGGCCTATGGAGTTTGCAGATGTGTGGAGGGATGCTGTGCTGTCCCCCTGAGCCAGCTGCTGTTTGTGTGTTAGCACAGTCAGGTCCTGCATGCAGAGACTCAGTGCCTCTTGCAGTGCCCTGATCATTGTGAATACGCAAACAAAACTACACAGTGCCCTGCTGGGTCCCATTTAAACATTATCTCCATCCAGAGGTGCTCCTACTGTGGGTCACAGATATGGTCTTTGCTGGAATGTCTCCAAAGGGAGGCAAGAGAGTTAATGTCAGTCTAGAGCAAGAGTAAGAGAACCCCAAGGCACTGACTTTTTGCAAGAGATGCTTTCCTCTTTGTGGTCACACAAGATACCATGCTTGAATTCAAAGAGTTCTGGAAGTGAAGGAACCTTGAGAACCATGACCCTGTGAGAAACTCCAGGTCTGATGCCTGTCCTAACACTTACCAACATTTTTTCCATCTCCCCAAAGTGTAATAGTTTACTAGAGCAGCACTTTCATTTGCGGTTGAAAACATCAAGATTTCTCATCCATCATGCTCTCGTCTCATGTAGCATTTGCAGAAAACTCTATTTCAGCTACTTAGGATTCTGTTGTAAAAACCCTAATATTGTTAACATTTATTTGCTACACCTCAACATCTCCCAGAAGTATGAAGAGTTATGATTTATTAAACAAGTTTGTGTTACATGAATTGGAGAGTCATCCTGCTGCAGAAAAGTGTTGTCATCTTATTGCAAATCGTTCATATCTTCTCCGTGATTTCTCATGGACATCTTGCAGCACCAAGTCCTCCTTCTCAGTACAGCCAACAAACTCCACCCCTCCCCTCACCCAGCTGACCCACCCTTTTGTAACACTTGTCTTCTTATTGGACACAGCCCTGGCCTGTTAAGGGCAGGCCTGTTCCTAATCTTTAGTGGTTAGTACAGCTGCAACTCATCAGGTGTGAGACTACCTTCTGCACTATCTCTATTTTCTTACATTCTATCCCTCCACAAAAAGGGCTCTAAAAATCAGAGTTGGCTTGATGCAGCCTGGCAGGTATGTCAAATCCATGCTGCAGTCAGAGATGCACCCAGGGCTCAGTGCATCCTGATCCAAGTGTCACAGAATGATTGGATCTTTATCTTTACAAGACAACTGATGTGGGTCTATTACATCAGGCTTAAAGAGCCACGCAGTCTGACACGAAGATGGAGATGGACAAATATATTAAAGGAATCATTTTGATCCAAGATCCCATTCTGAGACCTGTGAAGGTAAAATAACATATTAAATGAAAATATCTCTTTGTACAAAGTGGTTATAGCCCTGCTTACTTGTTCTTAGGTTGGTGAGCCTTGTGGACACCAGTCTGCATTAGACATACAGCTGAGCAGAGGAGAACATTCAGAACTCTATTTCTCTTGGGATGAATACAAAAATAGGTGGGACAATATCACAGCAAAGGTTATCTTCAGTCACTTGTAGGAGATTGAAATATCTGTCCTGATTTTGGATGGCATAGAGTGACTTTTCTTCCTAGTTGCTGGTAGAGTGCTCTTTTGGGTTTGGGACAAGAATAATGAAACACACTCATGTGTTAGTTGTTTGTAAGTGGTGTTTACACTAAATCAAGGACCTTTCAGCTTCTCACCCCAGCCCACTGGCAAGTAGGCTGAGGGATCACGAGAAGTTAGGAGGAGACACAGCTGGGACAGCTGACCTTAACTGACCAAGGGGATATTCCAGAAGTGACCAAGGGGATATTCCAGGCCAGTTGGCACCAAGCTCAGTACTTGGTATAAGCAGGAGGCTGTTCAGAGTCATGGCATTTGTTGTTATCAGTCAATGCTCTGTGCTGGAGCCCTGCTGGTGTGATGCAGCCCTGCTTTCCTGGGCTGAGCTACTGCCTGTCCATGAAAAGTGGTGAATGAATTCCTATTTTGCTTTGCTGTGCAATTTTTGCCCTTCTGATTATGTTCTCCAATCTGATGCATGGGAAGGGAATGAGTGTCTCTGTAGGACTTGGCTGCCAGCTGAAGTCAAGCACCATCCTGTTTTCAGAGCTTCTCTCTGAAGAGTTAAAGAAACCAAAGACTTAATCAAAAACAAAATTGTGCCTTTTACAGGTGATCAGGTGGAGAGAGTGCCTGACCCTTGTGTGTTCAGTGTGGAGGAACTGTGCCTTCACTGCTTGAACACAGGCATGCTTTCTGCTCAGCTTTGCAGTGGAATTCAACAGCCATCATGAGCTGAGAAATTACACAAGGACTCCCAGGATCAAACTTATTATGCATTCAGTATCCCAATACTCCATCTGCTGTTTCCTTGTTCCATATCCCATTAACAAATGCCAAGCTGCAGATTGTTTTTCACATAGTAATGAGCTGCATAAGTATGTAAACAAAACAAAAGTTATATATTTCTGTTGGAACAAGTGCCAAGAACACCTCCTGTTGCAACACTGCTAATGACAGGATAGAAACAGTGGAATAAAGAGAGTAATTTGTAGTATTCCCTGGTCAGCTGCACACATGGTTTCTCCAAAATAAGTAAGTGAGGCAATTTACTCCATACTTACAATGCACCAGATTCATTCCTGCTTTAATTGCAGTAGCCTCAGTGGATCTGTATCATGGAAGAATTTGGCCTTGTGGTTGGAAATCTTCCTGCAGATGGTGGTAAAAAAAGGTGAACAGCATAAATAATGCCATTATCCCAATTAGCTGGAATTGATTAATTCATCCATCCATTTCCCAAATGATTATCTCCAATTAAAATAATTGCCTGGATAACATTCCACTGCTAGATCCCTGGATGCAACAGAGATTTCTAAACAGCATCTTACTCATATTCCAGCACAACCACCAATACCTGGTAGCAGGGAAACACTTTTCAATTTGCTATAGTTCAACACAGGGACGGAGGAAGGTTTGGAATATCTCTAAGAAACACAGAGTCATGTATTATTATTTGTGTAAGCATAGTTACTGTGGCTTGGGACTTGAGTTGCAGAATGCAAGGGGATGTTGCCGGCTGTAAAGAGGTGATATTTATGAGCAAGCACAGATGCATGAGGAGCACAAAGAAACCATGAGATAATATCAGTAGGCATAGCAGCCTCTCACTGTTACATATTTTTGTAGGCATGACAGTACTGGATGTTTTTCCCAACCACATCCCTGAAGGTAGCCAGCTCTGTTGATGCTTACAAAGAAATCCTGCCAGCTGTGAAAGTGATAAAAAGTCTGATGACACCTGTCTGAAAACGTAAAACATGGGCAGAGGAGCCTGACACCACAGTACGACCAGGGGCAAGATTCTGCTTTCTGATTGTGATTAGAAGATGATGGGTGTGACAGGGATGCCTTGAAAAGGCAGTTTCTGAAATTGCATGTGAAGTGTGAGAGAGATATAGAGTAGTAATTTAAAGAAAGTGATAACAAGCTCAAATGAGCTGGTATGAGGAGGATGCCTGTAGCCACAGTGTAGCATCTGCTAAGTTCAGAGAAAAGGCTGTTCTAAAAAATGTGAGAGTATGCTTAGATGTATCCATAGATGGAGATGAAAAATTGTGTTTAATGGATGTTTTGCATAGAAAATATGCAAAATTCTAGTAGAGTTTGAACCCAATAGCCTTAAACTTAGAGCTGAATATAATGTTAAATAACTGGGCTGCTTAATCACTCAGTTCAGTAGCTGGGCACACTTTTACGAAAATTAGTTAGGAGAAATGGTAACAGCAAAGATTGCAAGAAAAATGTTATCTGTGTTTTGCATGGGTTGTTTAGGAGGGATGAGGTAGTGAATCATAGAATCACAGAGTTGCAAGGAAAATATCATCATAACTGAGTCCAACTCTGCACAGAACAAGGATCTTGGCTCTCCCCAGAGATCCCATTATGAGCCTGGGAATATTGTCCGAACACTTCTCAAACTGAGGCAGACTTGGGACTGAGTCTGTTCCAATGAGTGCTCAACTTCACTCTCTGGGTGAAGAACCTCTTCCTGACATCCAAACTAAACCCCTTCTGACCCAGCTTCATGGCTTCAGGTCCTGTCACTGTCACCACAGAGCAGAGATCAGTGCCTGCCCCTCCTCTTCCCCTCCCAAAGAAGCTGTAACTGCAGTGAGCTCTGCCCTCAGCCTCCTCCAGGCTGGACACACCAAGTGACCTCAGTCACTCCTCACACGGCTTCCCCTCAGGGCCCTTCACCATCTTTGTTGCCTCCTTTGGATTAAGCCTCCTAGTGGCCTAATACATTTTTTACATTGTGGCACCCAGAGCTGTCCCCAGCACAGGAGGTGAGGCTGTCCCAGCGCAGAACAGAGCAGGACAATCCCCTCCCTTGCCCAGCTGGAGATGCTGGGCCTGATGTCCCCAGGACAGGGATGGCCAAGAAGTGAAACCAAACAGGCAAACAAAGAAAAAATGTTGGTTTTTAGGTCTTCATTAGAATAGAGTTGTTTGTTGTTTATGATATTAAATTCTCAGACAGCACTTTGTGAGAAGAAAATGTCAATGGACTCATAGCTAAATAGAAGACAGGAAAAGGGCAGTTTCACCAAGAAAGGAGCTGAAAAAGCTTAGAGGCTAAGCAGCTGGATTGGAAATCCTGGCTAAAATTCTTTCTCTGCCTGAGGAAAATGAGCCCAGGTATCCTACCATGCAAGTGATGGTCTAACATCTTTTGCTTGTTGTCATTTTGGTTTATTTAAAGACTCCTCATTGTCTACAGCAGGGATTATTTAAAGACTCCTCATTGTCTACAGCAGGGATTGAAAACCCTTAAGCTTCAAGGTTGGAGTCTTAACTGCCCAGGCAGAGAGGCATGGAATAAGAAACATTTTCAACAGCTGTAAAGGAATGATAGACAAGGACAAAAACCTGAATGTATCTCATGCTGTGGTGGCTAGAGCATCCTCCAGATGGGTGATAGGCTCCAGTTCAGATCTTTGCCCATAAACAAAGTTCAAATAATGATTAAATTAATACAGAATTGCTATCAAAAGTGCAGAAGTGAATTGACATCTCTTTAGATGGAACAAAGCAGGTCACAGAGGAGGTGTTCAAAAGCAGTGGTATTCAAAAGGCAGACTGGTGCTTTCTCCTATAGTTTCAGGAATACAGTCACAGAACCATCTTCATATAAAGCTGATAACCATTTCAGGGCAGCTGAATCTGTATTTTTGTGCGATTGATGTTATTATATTTTCATGAGGAGTACCCTGTTCTAAATGGAATAATTTTTCAGACACTCAAAAAATGTTAATAGCACTTTTTACTACCTAGAAACTTTTTAGGGATTTTAGGAAAGGCGCAGCATTTTTAACATGATGCCAGTCAAATCCTTGAGCTTATTGCAAACAACCCTTTTCGGTGCCCAGTCCCATTGTTTAAGGTAACGTCACTAGGTTAGGCCTCAGTCACCTGAGTCTTCTGAAATCTTTATCAATTCTGAAATCTTTATCAATGCTTAAATTCAAGCATTTAATCAGTTCTGGATGGGTTGACTCCAGGATCAATAGTTCTTACCAAGTCTAAGTAAATCAGATTTTAAGACATTTGTCCAAAAGTGCTCAAGACAGAGGAAATATAGACACAGAATCAAGAGGATCTATTTAAAGACTCTAGGTAGGTTTATGACCCTCATACTAAAAGGGTACTCATACTCATTAAAAAAAAGGTTTTTTTAAAAAGTTTTTTCATGCAATTATGCACTATAAAAGTTTTTATGAGAAACATAACTTGAAAAACCTTCATCACATTAAATGAAGGAAGATTAATTGGTGGGTTTATTTACTTAATTTTTTTACATAAAGACATAACACAAAAAAGCCATCATTAGACATCTAAAGCCTTAAGATGAGAGCAACATATTTTGACTAAAAAAGCTAACTAAAGAATTGAAACTACTTTTATGTAACAAAGAGAAAGCATGTCACTCAGGTAGTTTGCCTATCTAAACTAAACTTTGGGATAAATTTTTAAGAAGGGAATCAAGGGGAAGAGGTAAATAGAATCAGATATATGGTTGAATTGCCAAAAGGTTCATCATGTTAAATCAATCCAATATTGTTCATAATAATAATAATAATAATAATAATAATAATAATAATAATAATAATAATAATAATAATAATAATAAATGAATTTTAAATTACCAGGACCTTGCAAAGAGACCTAAGATGATGTAGGTGATGAGATAAGAGGGAGAGCAATTCAGAAGTGGCAGAAGTGACTGGAGCAGAGTTACCACCAGGGTAGAGGGGGCTGGCAGGGTGTGTGTGAAGGAGGATTTCAGTGGTGGACAGAAGTGGATCTGGGAAGGGTTGAAGGTGAATTTCAGTAGCTATTTCCTAAATGTAATGATAGCTAGAAATTACACTGCCTCTTCTAAAGGCATGCAACACTTTCTTAAGAAAGTAAACCATATGAGTCCTCTAACACATGTAAAAGCATAACCATAACAACATATTTTTGTTTGTAGTCCCCCTTTTAGAAGAGTATGCATTGCTTCTTAAAAAAAACTACCTCTTAATATTTTATTTCCTGTTTGTAAAGAGTTCTCAATCAATTGGTTTTACAATTTTACATGCATATATGTAACATGTATTTTTTGTTCTAATATGCGACGCAGATTAGCTCTTCAGGAACAGCAGCTTTCATGTTTTTTAAAAAGTAACTATCCATTTCCAAGGGATTGTCTTGTGCTGATATTTGGGTCAGGAAAAAGGAAATCTTTGGCACCCTTATAAGGTAACTTCCCAAAGGCAAAAGCATGCTGTCTGTGATAAAAACAGAGGAGACCTCTGAAAGATCTAGGATTAAGAAGCATCATACCAAAAGGCCAGTATGAAATGGCCCTTTTCTGGCAACTTAGTTCTCTTGCAGTTCTGAAAGTAGGAGTTCCTTATTTATATTCCATGCTAATTTATAATACATGTTTAAAATGTGTTTTTGAGAAATCATTTAGAAAATGAGTTTGGAAACATATGATGACATTGGGTAGCTGTCAGGCATTTAAGTAGAGAAAATGAGTGTTTCACATACACCTGCAAGGGTGGGAATGTGTCACAGTTTGTCTGATTTACCATTGCATTCTGCATCACTTGACATCATGAACTTGACTTAAACGTTTGGTGACTGACAACATTTGGAAAATTCATTGTCCTTGTTTCTACGAAGAGGCCTAAGGTCCCAAAGTGCCTTTATGGCAGTAAGACCCAGATTGTACATTTGCTTCCTAATTCCTTTTTCCCTTGCTCAGAAAGGAGGGGTGGTTGGATGGTTTTGTTCAGACAATGCTCTGAATACTTCTACTCCTTCCTTCCTTCCTTCCATAATGTTTATTTTCTTCGAAAAGGAGCTCCCAGAGATTTTTCCATCTTTTTGCCTGATCCAGGATTCTTCTGATTCTGTTACAAGTTACCCATAATAATTTTCTCTTAAAAAAACCCCCTTCCTGTTGTCTTACCTTCCCCAAGAGACCCCATTTTCTTCCTTAATGGAGAATAATATAGCTAATTTTAAAGATAGATTTACCAATTTATATTTCAAGCCTTAACTGTGCTGTGACCACTGTGCCACCTTAAAAGACACGCAGGTGGTCCACTCCCACTCTGTCTTAATAGCTGCATTTATTATTTGCTCCTGCCAACCAGGTCCACTTATGCCTGTGGGAAGGCTGCAAGAGCTGGTCCTGTAATGCCTTGTCTTGCACTGTCTTGCAGATCCTTCTCTATCAACCTCTGCAGTTCCTCCCATTTCTTCTTTGTACCACTCATGCCCCTCCTACTCCTGCTGCCCATGCATACTTTAATGATGTGAAAAACCAGCCACGAGTGTAAGCCATTTCTCACTTAAGTCAATTTTGAAATTTGATGTCCTATTTAAGCAGTTATCTCTGTCAGAAAATTCAGGATTATAATGTTGTTGTAGAACACTGTTATTACTGCAATGAGTGGCTGCATGGGAAAGCATTTTGTCATGGCCACATCACTGACATTTAAACCAAATGTAAGGAGGAGGAGAAAAGAGCCACAAGAAGAAACTCTTCTTTCCTGTATACCTTGGGGAAGAAGATTTCCTTAACAGTTTTTTTCATGGTTGTAGTCCTTTGCTGGAAAGTTATTCCAACTCTGTGCTCCCAAAGACTGATGATTTGCTGTGGAACTTCTCTATGCTCAGTTAATTTGCTTTGCTGACACTAAATGCCCACCCATTTCCCCTGTTATTACACTCACAGAAGGCTGAGAATATGTAAGGATACAGCATCAGAAACCCTGCATGCAGAGTTTAGGTGCAAAAGTAGAAAGATTTTTCTCCCCCTACCTTCATCTGGGAAGCTGAAGAGAGTCAAAATCCAGTCCTGAGCAGATTTAGTGAATTAGGTGGAAATGGCAGCTGTTGTTGAGGTGGAAAAGGCACAAGTGATCTCCAGACCTGGGAGGTGACTGCCTGTCCTTCACAGAGCTGTGAGCCCATACAGACAGAATACGATGTCACTCCTGATCTGTCAATGCTTTCAACCATTTTTAGAGAACCCAAAACACTTGAATATTGTCAAACAAGCAAAAGATCAAACAGCAGCAAATTTTCTGTCTCTGAGTAGTAACCAATTAGAATGACAACAAAATAATTGGGAAGAGTGAAGCAGAGGGTGTAGAAGACAGCATCTCCTTCAAAATGACCCTTTTTTATAACACCAGCCTCTTTTAAACATCCCTGAAAATAATGAGCTGTAAGCTGCAATTAGCATGAAAAATAGAGTTATTGCAGGGAACAGCTTGAAACAAGTGCTAAAGCAAGGGCAACTTTGTGAAAAGAGTCCTGTCAGAAGCTCTTTTTTCCTTAGATAGAAGAGTTTCTGGCTAAAATTCCTTGTTCTCCATTGCTAGCTGCACAGAGGAGTTATGCTTGCTATTAGTCAAGCTAATTTTCCATGGGAGACAAAAGAGGAATGGGTGCAAACCACGTGTCTGTTGTGCACAATGCTTTGTTGTTTGGGCTGTGAACAGTTCCTCAGTTGGTGTGGACTGTTCTGGGCTTTGTTGTGAGTCTGGCAGGAGCTCCTGGGGTGCTGCTCTGCACTGCGGTGCAGCCCTGCCCATTGCTGGGCTCTCACTGAGTAAACAGAATTGCTTTGAGGGAACTGGTAGAATCCAAAGTATATTTAAAAACTAAAATTAAATTCTAAGTAGAAAAGCAAGGGCTTTAACCACAAAGTCCTGATTTTGAGGTGTAACACAAAAGAATGGGAAATAAATTTGAAACACAGGGCTAAAAACAGCATCTTAGCACAATTTGTCATGACATGATGATATGTAGGAGGGAGCTGCTTGGTCAATCTGACAAAAATATCAGCACAGTGTTGAAGCCTTAGCACACAATAGCATTCTTATTTTAAGACAAAAAATACAGTGTAAAATTATTTCACTTCTGGAAATTGGACTCTGCTCATTTTGCACATTTCACTGACCCTTTTGACTGGTCTCAGTCCCCCTGAAGTCCTAAAGATTAAGGGATAAATATAGATTGCTTCCATTTTCAGCAAAACACTGTGACAGATGAAGCAAAGGCAGAATATGGACCTCTATTTATTGCCAAAATAAGAGGAAATTCTCTACATTTTAATGGCTAATACCACCATGTCTTGCTAAAATTGAGTCCTACAAAATGCATCAGTATTCAAACAAGAATATAAGCAAGAATTTAAAACTATCAGAAGAATAGATGTTATGATCCTGGTGATTCTCTGTAAAAGGTGATATTTGACTGTACATTTTCAATAAAATACATATACCTTGGAAGTGACTGTGCATGTTATACATGCAGAAAACAAACTATCTGCAAGAGTGAAACTGAAATGCCAAACATTTATCAAATCTGAATCTCTCAAGGACATGCTGATTCAAATCCTTGAATTCTTCAAATTACTCATAATCATAAATGTAAAATTTGTTTGGATATTGCTGTCATTTTTTTTTCATCACGAAGATTTTGTTTTGCTTCATTTTCCTATTATGTCTTATGTTCCCCAAAAACAGAGGATCTTTTACAGCAATCTTGATTATCTATCATTCTTTAACACTCTTAATCTAGTTAGATTAGAGTGTTTAGATTCAGGCAAAAGTGATAACTTGCTTTCATTATTTAAAAGCACTTTGCTCTTCCACATGGATATTTTTTATTATTTTGTTTTCTTAGTTGACTAGAAAGAACTCCCATTAACATCCTGAATTCACCCAAAATGAAGACAAATTTGTCAAGTTCCATTTTTAGGAATAAAGAACATTAATTCAGCTCCAATTGATAATTACATTTGGGTAATACCACACTATGTTTAGTTCAACACCTTTTTCAGTGTCCCTGTGGTTAACCCAGTGAAATCATGAGTTTCTTCTTGCAGGTGTGGGTTTTTCTATCAGCATGTTTGTTGGAAAGCATCTGATTCAAGCCTCTGCCAGCACAGCAGATGCTGAGCGAGTCATTTCAGAGTGATGTGTGCAACTCATGACTGCAAAAGTAACATCTTTTCTCTGAGATCCTATTCCAACACATTTTTGAAACCTCTTCTTTTTGAAAACTTTTACTTAGGAAAGTTTTAGAAAATAAGAGTTTTGCTTATCCCTTGAGTCAGTACTCAGTTGCTTTCTGATATTCATGGGATGTTGAATGCTGTAGAAGTAGTGGGTTGTGGAACATTTTGGCTACAGCCTATATGTGGGCTTTGTGCAGCAATGAACTGACATAAATCATACTGATGCAGTCAGTTCTGGCCAGCTGTAATTCAAGGTACAGACTTCTGACAGACTGGCAGAAAGGTGCAGCATGAAGGCAAAATAGCAAAAGTGCTACTTACCATGGAGGAGAAACTGCCAAATGGAGGGTTCTAGGTTACAATCACATCATAAACCCAAGATTTCCTCTGGTTCCCACAGAAATTTAAAATTGGAGGAGGCATTTAAGTAAGTGAAGGAAAACTGCTGTGATTGTAAGGCAATTGTCATCACTGAAATAATTTCCAGCTCTGTTCAGCTCTGCTCAGTTATGTCTGCAGCTGCTGTGAAGTGCAGAGATTTAGAAAGGTCTTTGAAGTAAGTGCTAAAAATGTCAGCTCCATCCAGCTATACAAGACAGTGCAAAACTGGTTTTTTTTCCCACTCACACTTTAGGAGTTTAGGGCTAAAAACTGTTCCTCTTGTAATATCTGATCAGCTGTTGCCTATTCTAACAAAGATAAAGTTTCCATGACTGCAGATATGCTTAAATTTTAGATCCCTAATGTACAAATCTCCTTAAAGCAAATGCCTAAAATGCTTATATAATGTATAGTGAAAAGCAGGTTCTTTTCACAGTCTCTTGTTTATGTAAATATAGACAGATAAGCTGAAAAGAAGGAGAGCAAATGAACAACAGCTTTTGAGCTGGAAATATCAAAATCCACAATTCCTGACCTGTCCCACCAGATATTGTGTTATTAATTTTATATTGCTATAAGGACATGTACCTTAATCTGGTGCAGCTTCTAACTCCTGAGCCAGTAGATAAAATGCCAATCATCATTAGCTCCTCTTCCATTAACTGGAAATGCAGGGGTTTGAAAAACAGGGTCACAACCGCTAAAAGAGAGGGGAAAGTCTGCTTGAACATAGCTTATGACCTTTTACCATTGCTGCTGCCTCTTAGAAGACTTCTGTCATTAACCACTAGTGTAGGCTGTCATTTATGACATTTTTGGGTGATTACCTCATCCTATTCATATTACAAAGAATTTAGACCCACATTCAGACCTGTGTTAATGATGTTTGCATCCTATTGTATTTTAGCTGGCAAGGGCTGTTTTCAAATTCCAAACTCAGTGAATAAGAAATCAGAATTGGCCGAGAACCCAAAGCTATCTTCAGTTTTAATCTTTGTGCTAGAGCACTGCTGTCATGGCCTTAGTTATTAACTAGTCTCTTTTTTCTGAGCTGCAATCTGCCACCAGTACTTACACACTACATAGGAGAGGAATGGAGTAGATTGATAGTGCCTTAATAGAGCAGTTAAACACCAATCTATTCATAATTATTATTATCCAACCACTGATTTCCATCTACAGGAAAAAATTAGTCGTGCTCTGCTATAATTTACTGATTTTCACTTAACTTGCCTGGGTCATGATCCTCTCTGTTTGCAATTGAACTACAAAAAAAAAATCTTATTTACTTCAGAGGGATTTTCCCTCAGTAGCATATATTACATATTCTTCAGATAAAGTATCTTTTCCTTGCAATGAAATACCTGAAAAGGAAGCTCAATTTCTAGGAGATTTTAGACCTCAGATGACAAAAAAAAAATTCATGGCTGAAAGAAATCCTACAGTTAACTCTTCAACAGTCTGAATTTATTTACATATATAGTAATAGATATGTCTATATGTCTGTCTATCTATCTATCTATCTATCTGTCTATCTATCTATCTATCTATCTATCTATCTATCTATCTATCATCTATCATTTTCTCTTTTTTTTTCCCCAGGGCTATGCAAAATCCCTGCATTCCTGCAGGAAGAATAGAAGATTGCCCACCTTCTGACCAAGAGAAAAGGGCTCATCAGGAAGTTCTTGTGAAGGAATTGCAGCCCCCATATTTGTAGTTTAAATACCTGGCAGAAATAGAAAACAGATACTAGAAATAAATGAAAAAGTACACAGACTTGATTTTTTTTAAGCATTAAGAAATGCTGGAAATTCTACTAAGCACAAAGACTTTTTTTCCTGGATCTAGAAGAAAATTACATCCATTCTTCCTTTTCTCTGAGATCTGATTGGGAAATTCCATCATTTTATTTCACTGCTGATATTTTCTCCTGCTAATATTCACTGCTTCTATTCTGCCTTCATTTACAATTTATCCAGTAAAAAATTCATAGCATTTAGGTTAATGATCTTTTCAGATGAACTTTATAAAAAAGAAGTTGAAATTTAGAATGAAAAGAAATAGAAAACAGAGTACAAAGCTTGAAATTTCTTTGAGTTACTTGATTTTGAAAGCATCTGGAGCATCCAGTCATCCAAGATCATTGCAGCAGCAATGCCAAGACTTATGGTATATTTTTATTGTGGGAAAAGGTCTATTTTAAATGTCAACAATTTATCAAGTCAATGCTTTTACATTGCCTCAAGTTTAGGGCCTGATCTCAAGCCTCTAAAAACAGTTTTAGCCTCCTTAGCAGAGTTTAGAAGACAAGAGGAGCCTGTTTCATTGGGGAGTCCCTGGAGCAGGGATCATGTTCTCCTGACCTGTCTGCCCCTTTACCTCACTCAGGAAACCACAGCACCACACCTGGTACCAGTTCTTGGGCTGCCACTGATCCCAGGCTGTGCAGCAACAAAACTTGATAGCAGGGCCCCCTGCACACACCAGGCACTGCACGATTCACACTCATCACAACTCAGGCTCCCAAAGGTCTTTGGCAGTGCCAGTCACACTCACAAAGCCTAAATTCCATGTCAGTCTTGACTCTTCTCACCACCATCCCACATTTCAGGAGCTTCAGTGAATTGAGGGGCCATCAGAGGTTTATGGGTCTGGATCTTTGTCCCAGCCCTGGTGAATCCCAGAAGAGTAAGTCCAGAGAATTGTTAATCAGCTCTCCACCTGCTGGGGAACAGAGGTCCTGCCCTTTGGAATACCCTACTCTGCCATTTGGGTTCACAGGAATTCGACACAATGACAATAGATAAATAGTAGATAGATATCCTGTGAATTAAAAGTATACCAAAGGCTCCTGACATTTACAAGGGTTTTCAAGAAATGATTGGACGTGATTAACGCATGATAATTCCCCTTTGCTTCTTAACAAGCTTGGCATTTGTCAATGAACATTTATACCAGGGAAGGATACCTATGACTCTTCAAATCATCTGTTAAATATGAACTGATTCTGAGAAATTAGCTCACATGATCTGCTTCTAAACTATAGAACATGCTAAGGAGGTGGAAATACCTGTAACAATACCTGTAATTAGAAATGATATTGTAGAAACACCCACCTCAGAGAAAATCACATGCCCATATTTTCACTGATCTGTCAGCAACTTGCCAAGTATCTTCCAAAAGCAATAAATATTTAAAAGCTTAATAGATTGCACACACATTAACAGCACAGCACCCAGCTGGTGGAACTGGCTTGAAGAACATCCCATTCTTGCAATCAATAATGCTAAGTGTGTCTTGTTCCTCCAAGCTCCCCCTTCCACCTACAAAAGGTCAACTGTGTTCTGATGCTCTCATTTTTGAGACTTTTTTTTTGATTGATGATCCTTTTGAAGCAATCTAAGACAAATATTTTATAACTGATACTCTGATTTTTGTGCCTTTTTATTTTTTGATTGATGGTAACTTTGAAACAATCTAAGACAAATATTTTAGAATTTAAATGGAGTCACAGTCTCATTTGACTGGAGTTTTATTCACTTTTGTCTAACTGGTCTTTGAGATGACATTTCAGAAGAATTCTTTTTAGTATTTATACTTCCATCATCTTTAGAACAGGATTTATTTTAGCATTCTTCTGAAATCAAAGATTTTAGCATAGACATAAAAAGCAATAAAACTTGAAATATTGTCTAAGTTTCTTCCTTATCAATTTTTTTAGTGTCACAATCACAAATCATTGATGGCATGCTTATTTTCTTTGGTTTTTACTTTTAGTCCTACTTTTAATTTTTACTCCATTTAATTTTACTACATTTAATTTTTACTTCATTTATGGCAGCCAAATACTAGAAAACAACTTAAAAATTTTAATATGACCTAATGTTTAATGTAATTGGATTTTTTCCCTAAATTTCTACTCTAATAAATGCATTTTTATCACAAAGAATGCAGAACATATTTTTATTCTAATTTTCAACTTCAGATCAACAAACCTTATAAATAAGCAATCAATTTAACATAAAACAATGCAGCTTAAATAAATCCTCCTGTCCCTCGTTTAAAAGGCAACCTCTGAGATATAATGAAATATTGCTATTCTTGCCATATAAATAAAGGAAAAATATGTAAACTAACTCTTTTCCTTATGGACTGTGTTCTGTCTATTATGCCCTACCCAGATATTAATTTTGAAAGTTGGGTAGAATCTTGGATTTAGACAGAAAATGAGTGTCTGGACAAAAATCAGATTGCGTTCCTGCTTTTAAAGAAAGGTGCCTTGGGGTGACTTTGACAAAAGGGTAAAACAGCATTTCCTCCATGATGTCAAAATGGCCACAGCCATTCCTTCCTCTGTCTTCAGAGTGAGCCAGAGGAACAGATTTTACCCCAGCTCTTTGCAATTACTAAAATTGCAGCAGCAAAACAGGTCATTCATCATCCTCATAATAGTATGAGAAACATTGAAATTGTACCTTACCCTCAATCACATAAATCAGTCTCTTTGCTGCTTTGCTAGCAAGTTGTTTATAATTAGAATGAGTCTTGCTTTTCTCCCTTGATATGCTTTCCTATTGCTGTATTTTCTCCTTATTTTTTCATGCTAGGAATGAAATAGAAAAATGATATGAACTATATATTCAGAAAACATTGTAAACAGATTGTGAATTGATGATTAGTTGGCACACAAAGTTATAGGAAAAATATTTGTTCCACTGCTTGGAAACATAGAGGTTAAACCAAATTTATTTTAACGTTCCATATTATATTATTTATTATTTATAATATTCTTTTTTTAACTAAAAATCCCTCTGTTTTCTGAGTTTGCAAATGAGACTACTGAATAACAATTCTGGTCAGGGAAATTTCCTACATTTCTCTGCCCCCCTACCCCAAGCCCTAATACATAGTTTTAAAATATCACTTTCTAATTGTATGTGAAATCATAGCTCTGCTGAAGTCTGTAAAAGCTTTTTCCACAGATTTTAATGGCACCTGGATTTTACTTCAGAGAAGATAAACTTCGTTTTCATCCTGACTGCATGGCTTTAATTAGATAAGTGAATTAATCTCAAGGATAATAACTTGACATTTCAATAGCATTACCCTTGGATTCTTAATGTTCATGAATTCAAGCTGTTAAGAAGAAATAGCAATCCTGATATCTGTAAAAACTAATGAAAACAATGGCCATACTCTGCCTACCTTAAGGTAATATCTGAAGCTTCAAAGTCTGTTCTTCCTTCTACTAAGGGCCCAAAATGCCAAGTAAAAAAGAATAAGGGAGATGGAGCACTTAAGAGAACCTGCGAAAAAATTATTTTTCTCCATCCCAGCAATAACTGATTTTCTCCCATGGCAGCTGGCCCATACATGTGCTTCTGCTGTGGGATAGTGTGTGCATTTTCCATTCAGGAATCACTAGCTAAAATTAGAGAATTCATTAGTTTAGCAAAATACTCTAATTTCTAAGATGTATTTAAAGAATACTGTCTAATTCCACTGTAGGGAAAATTTAAGATTATTCAGAAAATAAAAAGCAAAAAAAACCCAGGCATGGGTTCATCATAAATAGCAATTAATTCACTAATTGCTTTTAGATTATGGATTTGATCATCAAACACTTAATATTTGGGGCAATGATCCCCTTTAATGACTTACAAGATACCTTCTTATTTTGACCTTAAAAAAAAATGTCCCAAGGGATCTGGTCTCAATGGAAATTAAATTTAAAACCTTTCCTTCGAACTGCTCTTTGCCAATGAAAAACAGTTTTGTCAGAAAGATCACAGGCTACTCTGAATAATCCTGAATTATATAACAGTTTCGTTGTCTATCCCGAGGTATTAAGGCATAGAAATATTAAAAAAAAGGTTGACTTTAAGGGTTGCTCCAAGTAATATAGACAGGGTAGTAATTCAGTGAGTACAGAACAACTTTAACAATGACAAGCAGATATCTCAGGAGCTGCAAAATTTTAATGATACTTTGTGGCTTCACTGACTTTGAGCCCTGGTTCCCAAGAAGAGATTTAATCTTTTCCTGTAACTGTGAAAAGCCCCTTGCAGTTTTACAGGTCTTAAAGGCTTTGCATAGTTTCATACTTTATATAAAGCTTGAATTATTATCTCCTGTTAGCTTGAGTTCTTTCTCTTCTATCTAATTTTCTTCAAAGCAAGAGGTAGAGTTTAGTGCAATTGTTCCTCTAAATATCTCCCCAGGAGTGGTTGTTAGTCGCTTACATGAAGTGCCTCCACTTAAAGTGCCAATTTGCACAGCAGGATTCAGCAGAGCAGTAGTAGCAAGACAGGGGATATTTAAAACAGTATTAAATACAGCAAGAAAGTGAGTAGAAAACTGAGAAAACAAAAAAAAGAAGAAACAGGATTGGGGAAAATGCTATTAGGAACATGGAGCATTTGAATTTTGAAGGTTCAATGCAATTTTAATATTAATATATTTGTAGGAGAGTAAAGATTGATGTTAACAAAATTGTTCCTTTGTCTCCTGGCTGTTCCTGGGAGCATGGGAAATCCTGATTCAAACCCCTAGTTTGAACTGAGTGAAAAAATTATTTTAACCCAACTTAATCATGTACACTCTTCTTCCCAGAAGTGTAGTGGGAAGGAGCTCCCAGAAATGACAGTCCCCTTCAAATGTGATGTGAAGATATTTTCTTCCTCAGTTTGTGTCATGGAGGTCTTCATGGCAGGCACACATGAGCACTAACAGGTGACTGCTCCTGTTTACAAACCATCCATGAAGCTTCTTCCAGAGCCACTCTGCTATCACAGAATTCTTCCTGCCAGAGGGTGAATACAGCAGCATGGAATACACACACCCACATCTTATAATGAATGCTAAATGCTCCCAAATTGTTGCTTGAAATTTTTTTTCCCCTGCTCTCAGATATGCAGTCTCTTCATCTTTCTGAAGAGAAAAAAAATCAATATAGAGATGTTGATATGTTCCATATCTTCATGACAGGAAATGGTATAGGAACTACTCATAAACCTAATGAGATAACATTTTTTTCTGAAATTTACATTAAAAAAGGTAAAGATGTTTTTAAAATTTTTCTCTTCTCCATATCCATATAAATTCTTTTTTTAGAATCTGTTAATATTGTTTGACGTCCATTGTTATGTTTACAAGCCTTGAAAGAGTAGATGATAGCAGACTTAATGTTGCATTACACACTTAGATTTCTTTGTTCCTTTGAACTTAGTAGTGGAAAAAAATAATTACCAGTTATTGGAAACAAACTTCCTAGCTTTTAATTGCTTAACTTTATAGCCCAGCAGTGAATAAATTTTCTGTTATAATGTATTTATTATCTCCATAATGTGAATGAGCCTTATATTTGTTCATAAATGATATGTTCTGCTAGAAAAAGATTGACCACTCTAACATATGATGTCAAAAGGGTCCATTAACAGAATAGCTGCATAGAATCTCAAGATCAACAAAAGTGTGAATAATAATATTGCATTGGGATTCATCTTCCTACACTTATGCAAGGAAAAAGGAATTTTTATATTTTACAGAAAATACTGCATGTTGCTCTCCCAGTCAATGAACATAGGAGAGAAGCCTATCAGAGCCTGTGAAGGAGCAGCTGTCTCCTGATGGAGAGCATCCCACTCTGGTAGGCTAAACCAGGAACAAAGACAAGGCACCAGAGCTCAATTTTTCAGAACAAATTATCTTTTCTCCTTCCCTCTTAAAAGAGAGCAGAAATGGTACTTATGCTTCTGTCCTGGTCTTTTAAAGGCAATAAATGGTGTAATAAATTTTTTTTTTGCTGCACTGAGCTCAGCTCTAGATCTCATCTTTAAACAAAACAAACACTTGGGGGTGGACTGCTTCCAAAGACAGCAGCGTGGGAGCTGACTGTGTGTAAGTCAGGGCCACAGCAGCAGCTTTCCTCACAGGAGGAGCCGAGGCTCTGCTTCCCACACTCCCATCAAGGTGCAGCTTACTGGCAGCACACAATCTCACTCATACTCTCTTCTGAATAACATGAAAAGTGGTGCCTGACCCCCAAGCCTGACACTTGGAGTACAAAAGCAGCAAACACGTACCAGGTGAGGGGCAGAACACGAGGGACAAGTTGTAAATAGCACAAAAAGCAATGGTCAAAATCTGTCAGCTACTTAGCTAGTATTCAGAGCAGTATTTATTCCTAGCTATGGGGGTGGAGTTATTTTGCAGAGTGCCTTTTCAATTCACTGTGCCTAGGATGAAAGCTTGAAGTAGAAAGAAAGTGCTAAAAGCAAAAGAGATGAAGCAGTGAAGCCCCAAACTGCCCATCCGATCAGCATTTTACTACTGCACAAGAACATAACTTTATCAAAATGCTTAGGCAGAGCCACAGACTGAGAATCAACCCTGAGCAGTCCTATCCCATTCCCATCCCATTAGCTACTCACACGACCCCTAACACTAGAGCCATATCCCATATTACCGGTGGGTTGTCTCATGTTAGGTACAAGGGGATTCGCCCCCATCCACACTCAGGAATTGCTTATGATGCTGTATGGTAGGTTATTCATTAATCCGGAAGCAATCCTGGTGGATCCTTCTGTTTGAAGTTTGGTAAGCAGGGCAAACAATAAAGAGAGATAGGGATAAGGGAATTGACAAGCTAAGCATGATCAGAGCTAATAATGTCAAACTGACCCTAAGAGCCGTGCCAAGCCATGGGAACCAAGCCAAGTACACCGGGAATTGACCATATTAGGATAGGAGTTCAAAAGTTTAAAGAGGAAGACTCATCAGAAGACCCTTGCCCGCGATGAAGGACCGGAAGGACCACCAAGAATAATCCTCAAAATAGATGTCTCCGCCCACGCTCCGCCCACACCACGCCTCTTATGAATATGATGTAACCCTGCACCCAAGACTGTATAAAAGCTTGCTTCTGTCATGACATAGCTAGAAATCCCTTTTGTGATTTCTCCGACGCGTCGTAATAAAATACCTCCTGTCTATGCTGACTTACTTGAGTCTCTTAGGCAGTTATTCTCGCCTTTTGGGGCAAAATTCAGCATCAGCAGAGATGGACACAAAAGCCAGCAGCTGAAATATATTTGAATACAGAAAAGGATTTGAATAGTGAAGACTAATAAAGCACAAAAAAACCCAGATTTCAGAATGACTTTTTATTTTCTTCCCTTGACATAGTGGTTCATTACTCTTTGGAGATGTGAAAACAATAAGATAAGGTGGAAAACAGTCTATATAAAGGGATATATAAGGAATAACATCTTAGGATGGATTTTTTTCTTCACTAAGAATGAGACATTAGAAAACAGATTAAGTGAAAAGGCACTGGTTTATTAGATCAGGATATTGCTTATGGAGAAGTAGCACAGCTTTTTAGGCTTGTCTCCCTTCCCTAGAGAAGGAAGAAACATAATTCTGGAAGCAATTGGAAGGAATTGGTCTGATTTTTATGTATTTTGAAAGTGTTAATTTTGGCTAGATCAACTAAAAGCAGGTTGAAAGCAGGGAAAGTGAGTTGGAGACTGGAGGAAAAATGGCTATTTTGTTAACAAAATACCAGTAAAGAGGAGTATTCAGAAAAACTCACCTTACTTTAACTTTGTGGATAAAATTTAGTTGATAAATTGCCTTTGGGATTGAAATCAGGGGCTCCATCTGCTGAATGG